AATTAGAGAAATGCTGCAAATATTCATAAGACTTTCAGTTGCTTAAAGTATAAATTAAATATGTTTTTTTAATTTAGGCGCATTAGAAAGATAAAATAAAGATATAAATTATTACGAACTGCGAAATGATTCAACTTGTTAAGCAACTGCACATTTATAGTTTGGAAGATGAATTTAAAGATCGTACTCGGATCAAATGACAACAATCTGGAAACTGGCTATTAGCCATACCTCGTGGAAAGTGAATTAAAGATCTTATATCTCTTGTAAAGACAATACTCAGCAGGTCGCATGGATGTAAACAGCCATTGTAGCATAGTATTATAGTGACTATCAACTGGATTCTCGCAGGGATTCTGACCACAGAGCTTCCAGTTGCCATCTGGACGTGTTGATGGAGGAGCACCATGTTACACGAGGAGAAACACACAGTGTAGGCAATAATTCCTTTAAATGTAAAATATTCTCTACGAAAGGGTAATGTCCAAAAAATTGTAAAGACTGCTCTTCAAAATTCATAATTCGATATTTATTTTTTTTAAATTATACCATCAGTTTTATTTATATCCCTCAAAATGTCGTTATTAGTCAATTACATCTAAATGATTGTTCCAACAACTAGAACCCACTGCAGTGTTGCTTGGCTTTGAAAGAAAAATATTTACTTTCCTAGTCGTACTACAGAATCCTTAAAATTTATAAAATTACTTTACCAGAGTTATTCAAATTTAAAAAACTATTTTTTTGCTAAATCTTGTGAAATATATGATTTACAAATATGAAAATTTCAAATGACTATCCTTCTATTATGAATAAATACTACTATTTTTCAAGCATGAAAAATAACAATAAAGTGCTAAGATTTTAGAAGCAAAATTTTTCCTTTTTATATCAATGGCATGAAAGATAAACTACAAAATTAAGAATCTTGTTCAATGTGTTAAATAATGAAATTTTACCCAAGAAATGTTATGAAATGTAGAATTATGAAAATGACAATTACTACATTAGAGCTCTTTGCCGAGCTTCATCCACTTCTGACCAAAAATACCTGAATAGATGGAATCCGGAGTTCACATATAACCCCTCTTTATTTAACACCCTACCCCTCGAGAGGACTTCGTATCAATAGTTTTTAAGTACCCTCATTTTACAAAGATTAGGCTTCGAAGTTTATACTTTCTCCGGGGTTCAAGCAATGACCTAACGGCATGAACTTTGGCGTCCAAAAACCACCATACCATCCTGGAGGACAAATTAATTACACAGCATTCTGTGTAATAAGCATGTGAACACTATAAGCAGTAGTTTTAGTCATGCATATAAGAAATATAAAATATATCATAAGCCATCCATATGTATTGGAAACGAAATTACGTGTTGTATAGTTCTACATTATATGTAAGATTAGGCTTAGATATATTATATAGCTATAAAGAACTAGTAAATATATAATCATAATCATAAGTGTTATTTAGAATTTTAAGTGACCACAGATTCTATGGCTGCTGTTCTTAATAATTTTCCGGTACACTTTTTTTATGAAAGTGGGAATTTATGAAAACGTTTAATTATTCTATGCCACACATGGTATGAAATTTCTTTGTTTGGACTCTTTTCATTCAATTACATGAAAAGATGTTCTCACTTGAGAATATATATCTTTAACAAGTGTTTCAATAACATTCTGTTAGATATCTATGTTCTTTAAAAATATCATCAATAAATGCATAGTACTGTTCTTCCTTCCAACAATAAATGTATGCATTTTAATCTAGATTTCAATTCAAGCCTTGCTTTGAAATGTCCATTAGTAAACAAAACTTTGAACAACAAAATATATCGATGAAGAAATATATGTACTGGCATTTGCGCGTTTAGCAAGGATGTATCATTGTTAACATTATCGTCGAATCTTTGTTGGATAAAAAGCCTGCTTTCTCCTCTCTTAACGCATCGCAGCTTCATTACGTAGCTTACCTCTGTTTTTATTTTCTTTCTTTGATAGAGTCACTTATCTAAACCTGTTTAATAAACCTTCTCTTCCCAGAGGTCAACCAACTCGATGTCCGGAACTGATTTTAGAAGCTGCAATTACCTTAATTCACCTGATGCTTTGCTCAAACTTTGCTTTTCTTTTAACAGCTTAGCCATTAAGGAAGAAACTCCCATCTATCTTTTGAGCTATAACATGATAAAAACTTCTTTGATGCAAGAATTTAAAGCACGTATACTTCATGTACTTCAAATAATGCTAAATGCTCAATGGATAAAATATGACCTTTTTCTTAAGGCGCGGCAGGTCGCATTAAAAATGCAACATATTTTATAACTAAGTAAAAGCAACTTTTATTTAAATAGCGTAAGATAAAATTTTATTTGTTACAGAAATCCAATGGTTTTTAATATAGGCGACTCGTATGTTCGATATTTTCAATCATATTTAATCGTAATTTCTATAAAATGGAATTTTCAAAGATGTGCATCTTAAGAGTGCTAAGATTTTATAATTTTCTAAGGTTCAAAGTAATATTAAAGATTTTTATTCAAAATTCTGTTTTGTTAACCTGTTTAAAAACATTAATTTAACGAAATTTTGTTGAAGGCTTATTACTTATAATTATAGTTTATCTTCCAACCATCCTGAAATTCTTCTTTTCCGTTCCTAAATTTTACTATCGGTCGGGAAAGATACACATTGCAAAATCCCACTTAATATGTTACAGCATCCTGCACCACAACTCCACTAACGCAACTACAGCGAGACTGTTTCATAAAGATGCCCCATAAGACCAAGTTTGAGCTTGCAGAAAGCAATTTTCTTGAGATGTTGTGTCCTAAATGTTGAGGCATTGGTATGTAATTATGATTTTAGAGTGTGAAAAAATTATGGAGTACAAAGAATTATTTTGTTAGCTACTCAAGAATATCTACTGTCGCAGCTGTAAAATTAATTTCTTCACACTTTGCATACGTTCTGAATAAAAATCTTAAGATCTAGTTTGATAAATAGTACTATTAGTAAAGACATTACGCATTTTACATTTTTAAATTTGGAGACAATATCTTTTAATTCTTTACTCTATTATTTTAAGAGTTTAGAAATTATCAGTCTCCCTCTTAAATTATATTTTAACTGTTTATTATTTCCGTGCCAAAGGAATATCCAGCCTAATCTTGAAGTTACTTTGGGTTCTGAAATGTCTGATCTTCAAGTTACTTGTATGATCTTTCCAACATCAAGTTAGTTGTCTCATCTTGAATCTACTTGATTTTTCCAGTCCCATCTCTAAACTGTTTGGAGTTCCGAAATGTCAGTTTTTTAATGATTCCGTAACGAAATGTGTATTCAAGGCTTGTTCAAGAAGTCTAGCATATTCGACGTATGTAATCTATGACTGAGATTGCGTTTCCTATGATTTTCGGAAATTTATGAAGCATCAAAATATGCAGTGATGAGGAAAAGTTTACAAGGACAGTTTTCCTAAACTAATTGATAATCATATGAAGTATTTTTATATATTTTCTCTGGAAAAAGGGAAGGGGACACTGATATTATGATCAGTAATTTTACATCTTCTTGTTTCAAATGTTTAGTTCTGTTTTAAAGGTTCTCTTACCTTCACACATGGAGATTTAGCTATGGAGTTACATAAAGGAAGAACACCATAAAATTAAATTGAATTTTGAACAAAGTTTTTGATTCCGTTTCTGTTTTATTGGTCTGGTCATGCTTTTTCTTTTCTCTTCATTTTTGAATTAAGATTTAATCGTCTTTATTATTAAACTGAGTTTATAAATTTTGTAGTAATACTAAATAGTACTGATTTTATAGTGCTGATGAAATTAGTGAACTCAAAGACAGTCATTTTATGAAACCGTAGTTTCCATTATAATCACCTTCAAAAAGTAAAATTACTAAAAAATAGGTAAATTCAAATTTTGTGACAGGTAATTCAAATCAGTGAAAGTTTTAGTCCTATCCAAAGCATGCACCCAAATGACTCGACCGATGAAAGTATATTCTCTGCCCCATTGCATTATGAAATGCTAGGCGGGTTTTACATTAAAAATTAGTATGTCCTAAAATTGTGAGAGCATTTTAATATGCGCAGTGCATTTATTTTAATTACTAAAACGAGTATTTATATTTTTCGAGTAACTAAATTACTCATTAAAAGTGGATCAATAATCATTGCAACTTAACGCTTCAAAATCGAAAACTAAAGTATATCTGGAAGGTAAAATTAAAAAGCCATCACTATGCTTTTTAATTTTACTGTGTAAATTAATTTGCAACTGTGTACAACGAAACATTTAGGTCTAAGTACTCATCTAAGGTTCTTTTCCAGTTATGATATTCATTAAAAGCAAGAGATAATATAAATTTAATTGAAAAATTGAGGGGGGAAATGTATCATCAATTCTCAACGATAGTTGGTGGCGAGATCAAACTGCTCACTCTGAAAACACATTTTTGTCCTTCAATTTCTGCATAATTAATGCCTAATTTTTATTATTGGCTCCTGGAATAAAAATGTTTTAGAACGGAAGATTTTAATTAATAGATCTTTTTGTGAGTATAATTGTGGCTTCAACTTGTAAATAATTTATACGTTTTATTTAAATGTTACTTTATTAAACGATGTATATTATCTCATTGAAGGAGCACAATGAAAATAATCTGGAAGCCACATATTTGTAGATCATCTTATTTCTTTGCAATATATGCTTTTAATTTTTTTAATTCTTCGTGTTGGATAAAAATGTTGATTTTTTCTGAATACTGCTGTTCAGAAATAAATAATCACTGCCAGAACGAAGGGAGGGGAAATAACTGGGAGACTTGTTTTCATTGACACAACCTCACCCTCTATGAAAAACATTACAACCAGTTCACGAGCAAGACTGAGAGACGACCTTGCGAAGCACGCATCTTGCCTCGGGACATATTTTCTGATGCAGGCCACATTCAACTCATTGCCGAAAATAATTGAGCAAATGCTTCAGTGGCAGTCAGCTGGCCACTGGCAACTGAAGTACGTGCAAACATGTTTTTGGTTTAGAATGTTCGAGTAAACTCGAGATGGGGATTTGACTGAGAGAATATTATTTGCCGAGAACAATATTAAGTTTTGCAACAAGGAATAGGATGAGAAAGAGCAATTAAATCCAATAATGCTTTATCGAGTTTAATCCCCATTTAATAGCACAAGCTAATGATACCCTAAATTTTTAGTCGCAGAAAAGGAATAAGAATCCAAGCAATGAAAGAGTGATGGTGTTATTAAACAGAAACAGGTTCAATTAAAGAGTAACTGGTGCAAGAATGAGAAATTGTTTACAGAAAGTAAATTGAATTTTAGCATCAAGGAAAGGAAATTCTTCTAATTCTTGCGTAATATTCGTCATACGTTTCAAATAATCGTATTTTTTTTCTAGTTGAGTATGGACTGCATAATGGATAATATATTGAAATGATTAGAAATGCACGTAATGGAGCCTAGAGCACTTTTATCTTAACCGAAAGTTATCTTAAAATTTCCCAATATTGTATAGTAAGCAGAATTAATGTGTATCATTAATCCACTCATTCGAATCTTTATCCTGGAAAAAAAACTGAATATCTAAGAAGATGCTGCATTCGCAACGTAACATCATGAGAAGAGAAAAACAGTAATTTATTTTCATTCCTTATGTTTTATTCCTAAGAACTAAAATTATTTTATTTACTTTTGCTGTTATTTAAAATAGTATAAAGTTTTAAGAAATTTTATACTAATTTAGCACATATTTATTTACGATGTTTACTTAAGAAATAAACATCATGGATAATTTGGAAATTAAGCAGATGTTACAAATACTGTAACATAAATTTTAATATATTAGTGTAACAGATGCAATTCAATTTATAGTCAAAAAGGATTTGTTAAGTATATAAAACTTTATAAAAATAAAAGACTATTGTAATGTGAAGAAGAATTGTACTCAAACTGAAAATTAATCTTATTGTAGGCAAAGTTGCTATCTATATTATATAAGTTAATAATATAACTTTTAACTAATGTTAGCTTCTTCTATCTGCATAAACTTAATTCAGCTTTGATGCCTTTTAAAAATATAGCTTTGGATTATTGCTTAGAAATATATATATGTAATATAACTGCTCCATTATTGTAATAAGACTGCGTTATTATTGAAATAAGTTGACTTGGTAGAAGTAAGTTGCAGCGGATTGGCAGTGGTTTTCTGCATCATAACTTGAAGACAACTTGATTGCGTAGTTAGAACGATGGATGCATAAACCAAAAAACTTCTAGATGTGGCTGTTTCGAAACAGAATTTTATTGCAGGATAATTGACATCAGAACATCTTTCTGTAGCTAAGATATTTTTCAATCATAGTTGAATCCAATAATTTCCATGTACACGTGTTTTAAAGTACGACTTCCTCCCAGGCAAGCAAGCAACAGTGTGGATGAGAAGCGTCCTGTCAGGAGGAAAGCGTAAGGGAAAAGGACGTAGCGATTCAGAGGAAGAAGGGAGGAAGTCAAAAAGTTTCATTTCCGAGTTTAATCAGTTTTGGTTAACAATTATTTGATTGGGCAAGAGGTATCTGCATTAAGCTTTACGTAGGATCGCATGTTTAATTTAAATGACGCAGTTTAGACTTATATCGCTATTTTTAAGAGAGAGAGAGGAAGTCCCCAAATTAAATAAAAACCAAAAGAGGTTTAGCCAATTAAATTTAGAAATTTGCTTTCATATTTCTTATCTTACACATATATATAGTCTAAAATAAAATTACTGGTTCGTGCAGAAAAATATCACAAACTTCCCTGTTCTAGAGGTACTACCCTCTGACTAGCCAGTTTGTATATATACAGCCTAAAATAATTTTTGTGACATCTTTAAGTAAAAATATATATACTTCCATCTTGAAATGTTCAAGAAATTAAGAAAATATATTAAAAGCATATAAATCCAGGTATAAAATGTCATTTTGGCTTTAAAATAAAAAATACCTCCCCTTATGGCAGTTTTGGGAAATTTGGAGTCTCTTTACTCTTAGCCGGCTGGAGGGTTAAGAAGGAAATTTGTAGAAAAAGTTCTCAAAATTTGCTATGTGCGTAATAGAAAAATTTACTTCACTTTTTGTTACATTCTTAAGCCACATGAAGAAAGTTTTAGTAGAATGTAATAAAAAAGGAACGGTCGCACCCGTTTAAGATAATCTCCCAAAAAGGAAAAATTTAAACAAGAAGAGCAAAATTTTATCAGTTAGATTCACAAGTACTACAAAGTCAAATAAATGTCTTTTCGAGAAAGACAACTTAAGAGGGCGATAAACTGTGTTAAAATATTAAAGAATGTACATTTTAATTTCTCAGAAAAAGAAAATTCATTAGTTTTGGATATTTAAAAATAGCAACTTCTTAGTTATTTTTATTTAAAATATCTATTTTTGTAGACTAATTAATGATTTCTCTTTATTTGCATTGAGATTTAATTTAATGTTATCTAAAATTGTGCTTTTTTTTTTTTTTTTTTTTTTTTTTTTTTGCAGATGCAGCATTCCACATGAGTTGGTTGCATAATGCAATTCGACCTTCCATTGCTGCTTCTAATTATAGCAGTTTCACATGTTTCGGCAACTTCAGTTATCAGAAGAGGGAACAATACGTTTTTCCAGAAAAGTAAGTACACTTTTTCACTTTTAAGCTGTGGTGCAATATTTTCCTTTCATTTATTGAACTCCCTTCAAATGTGCCGTAGACTTCCGGTATTCGTACTCAGATGTCTATGAATTTAATTATCAGAATTATTTTTTTGTTTTTCTAGGCCCAGTAAATTAAATTTTGCTATTAATTTATTTTCCTCGCTGATGTATCAACACAAGAAGATAACGTAGTAACAAATGAACAAGCTGTTTAATTTAAGAAATTAGATTAGCTCATAGTTTCCCAAATTTTTTTGGATGACTGCTCTCTTCTGTTTTGTCTGTCACCATCTACTTATAGCCTATGGCTATACCTACCTATAGCACATGAAATATTTTTAGATATTTATATAGCACATGAAATATTTTTAGATAGTTATTCATTTGCCTTGCATAAAATTATTAACTACAATCCATCATACAAACCGGAAGTAGAATGCTAATGACAAAAGATTTCTTAAGACACTTGCCGTGGTATTTACTACTCCCCAAATTCGTATTTATAGTGATATCCAGTACGCTTAAAGCAGTATGTTTTTTTAATATTTTATACAGATTTGGCCTACGGGTACTCATATGGGTCTATGACGTTTTCTGCACTGGGGCGTACGAGTACTCACACAGGTCTACGGATTTTTATCCACTGGCTTTTATAGAGATTTGGCCTACGGGTACCCGTACAGGTTGACGAGTTTTTGTCTACTGTTTTTTACGTGGATTTAACCTACGGGTACCCATATAGGTCTATTGGTTTCCTATGAGTACTCGTAAGACAAATCCCAATTAAAATTTTTATTGATCTGTACGGGGCATTTTTAGCAGGGTACAGACCTCTGTGCACGCCTTGCGGGTTTATTACTATAATTGGATTTTAGCGCACGGACCATCACTGTACCTATAAATTTGTGGCGAAACGGACATCACTGTAGGCACAGATTTGTGACGTACTGGGCATCAGTGCAAGTGCGATCAGTCTTTTGAAATATCAGACCGTTAATTTGAAAGTTCTGACCCCTTGGAATAGAAAAAATGGAACTATATGCACCTTGAAGCAACTAATGTGAAAGGGGCTGTCTAACATAATATGCTATGATTCTCGTTAAGATACGTGTTTGTAATGTTTCTATAATCAAGTGTTGGCCTTTTAACTTTTCTCTTATATTTATATCCACTATGTGTATCGTTTTTGAGATTAGATTAATCTTTTGTGAGATAAGTGGCAAATAAGAAGGAAAACGAGACAGTTAGATTTCATTCACCGGCCTTCTATCCGTCAAAAATGGAGACAAATAGCCCTCATGAGCTTTGACTTGTAATAGCTGTGCTTTTTTTCTTTGCCTTAGTTATACAACCTAAAAGTAGATTAAGAAGCATCGTAACGCAATGCCAAAGTTCTCTTTTCTAACAAAAAACATTTCTCGGCAATATTTCATTTTGTACTAAATAAAATGCTATTATTTTTATTCTTGTTTTTTAATCTCCACTACTTTCGGGATTTCAAATAACACAAAAGTTAACTTAAAATGTAAAGTAATTTAATGCTGGTGATTTACAGTTGCATTTTCCAGTGGAATGAAGCGCGAGACAAATTTTAAGAGAAAGCTACGCGGGAATAGTAAAAATATAGGAGCACGTGTACTTAACTTTGAATAAATGGATATCTCAGTAATTTGTATTGAAATTGAATAAATGTAATTGATCACTATGTTAGCTGTAACCATAATTCCATACTTTTATTGTTTTCCAGAAACCTTGAGAAACAGAAACTACTAAAAATTTCTCAAGCGACAGGTTGAAATCTATAAAAGGCCGGAGACAGAGCGTTTGAGTCAGTTTTTGCGAGTTGTTTAGCTAGCTGCTGTTGTTATTGTTGCGAGGTTCAGCGTGAGAGCGGATTAGCTTTCTCTTTGCATTGCGTTGCATTCTAATGTTTATAATAGTTTGAAGTATAACTATTGATTATATTGCGTGATATTGTAAACACTTGTACGAATATCTCTAAGGAAAATTCCAGCGATCTGTTATATTTCTTTTGATAAGAATAAATTTTATTAAACTTTTACATAATTTATGCATTTAATAAATTACGAAACTTACGCGCGCAATAATACATTGCAATTGGTGACTTTCGCTTGAACAATTCTTGTAAATATCAAACATTATGTCTCGTAAACATCCTTAATAGAAAAACGTCTTTCCATGTTTTTCGTAAGCACTGTGTTTCCGCATTACGAAAATTATTACTTCCATCATATTCAACATTTACGCATACTAAACATCTTGACGCCATTACCACGTTCACTGTTCTTGTTCCATCATGCCTTGCATTACGAAGCAGCAACGCTAATAGTGTTACGAAGACAAACATCATTCTAAATCGAATTAAATTTGAGGCAGTCTTACATTAAGATAAATAATTTAATTCATTTTGGAAACTTGCCTAGGTAAAGTCCGGTAAGAAATGAAAAATGTACGGCTTTGGTTTCTATTTTAATTGTGCTTGAGAACAGATTTCAAGATTTCAGTAAACATCAATTGTATTTCGGTAATACGCCGAAATTCGATACTAATACTGCTGCATTTTTCTTTGGCATTAAATTTACCTGTGAAATTACGAACGTGATGTATAAAATTGCTATCAGACGCGCAGGGTAAAGGAAATTCCTTTAAATGGATCTTTAAATGGATTAAATAATGTTATTAATTTAAGTGGAAAATTCCTAAAAACTCATAAAATTTCTACTATATATTTCCTTTTAAATTAAATAGTATTTATTTGAGTATGTAACTTATTACCTATAGAAAATAATTAGCACTTAATGAAAATTCCCTATTCATGATTCTTGAAAAGCGTCATATTTGTGAACAAATTTTATCCATATGAAACACATAGAAAGTAAAATAAGAATAAAAAACTAAATGACGCATTTTGATTATTCTTGTTCTCCTATGGCATCAGTTTTATCTGCAAATTTGAAAACGGAATGTATAGAATTCCTGTCTGATGCGTATCATAAAGAAAATAAATTAAAATGGATTAAATAACGTTATTCATTTAAGTGGAAATTTTTTTAACACTAATAAATTTGTAAAGGAAATTCGTTTAACTATATTAAATAATTTAACACTTATAATATTACAAGTCAATTGGCTGTCGTTAATTTGCTTTGTCACTACTTTAATTTGTGACCTTCTTTCCTGTTATACTCCAGAGTTGCATTAGTGTTCAAAATACAAGTTGAATATTCACGTAAAAAATATTCAGTATATTTTTTCTACTAAGGCCTTTTGGATTAAAAGCAAATGAAATTTATCACACGTAATATTAATATTGATACCTTTATTAATTGTTTTAGTTCTATATGCGACCCCCTAGCATGTTTTCATTGGGCAGAACTGCCTTAACGCTTCTTTGTCGGGCAAGACAACCAAAAAGCTTCTTAAAGTTTCAGAACACCCATCTTTCGGATAATATAGTGTACCACTGTCTTTCATTTGGTGCTATTCTGTCTTCTATAACATATAATTGTCAAAATTTTACTTTTATTTTACGCATTCATTTACACTGGTAAAGCTTATTTTCCACGCACCTTCAGAATATTTATGGGTGACTCAGATTTCTAGTGTTTACTGTTCGGTTAATCAATAACAGCAAAGCAGTCAGGATTCCTATGACAGTTTTCATACCTTTATAATGTAATATTTTATTACAGAGTTTTTAGTCAGTTTGTCTGCTTCTGTAACGTAATGTTTCGTTTTAACTAAAGGTAGAAAGCAAACCTTTTCCCTTACAGTGAAGATATCGTAATAATTAGAATTAACTGGAGGATAACTCCTATTTTTCTCTCTTCCGTATTTTGGAGATTTCTTTCATACTCCTCGATGGTAAAAAAATAATAAATAAAAGTGACACTGAAGGTAAAATTTAGTTTCATTTGTTTATTACCACGCACTACGTTCTCTGTCTTTGATCTCTGATCTTTTATCTTTACTTACCTTAAACTATGCGAATACCTTTATTTTCCAGCTACCTCTTATTGTTTTCGCACAGCAGTATTCTTCGAACTACATACGATTTTTATTGATATCAATCTCTCTGAATTATTAGCTATTCAAAATCTGGATATTACTTCTTTTCAAAATCAGAATTTACTAAAATACAAAAAAATATTATTTAAATCGATTGATATTATAAAATGCTTTAAAAAATTATTATCAACTTTCTTTGATCATCAGTAAAGGAATGTGCTCATAGCTTATTGTCTTGGTGTTTCTATGATTTATTTACTCGGTATGAAAATAAAAGGTAAAATCATTCTATAACTCTGAAATTTATAATTTATAAATGCAATTACGCATATTATTTACAATAGTTAACTTTGAGCTATCTCTGTACTATTGTTAGAACATGGGGTTCTATTCATATTGATCTGAATGATCTTTCTAAATATCAATCAGATCGATATGAATAAAGCTTCGTCCAACATTAATAGTTGCCCATGAATAGAATAATATCCCCTGTCTCCTGAAGATTATATGCATTAATAATTTCTTAGTGTCCTATTTCTATTCTCAGTTGTGTAAAGTAAATAAAACTCTCCATTTTTTCCTTTGACTGCGAATAACGCAAACAGGTGCCTGATTGAAATCTCTCTCAGTGAGAAAATTGCTTATAAAAGAGGCCAACATTAATCGTTTATAAGAAACGAAGAGAGTTGACTTGTATTTTTCCGTTTATTATAGCAAACTTCGTGAAATTAGCAATACTGAGTGGAAGAATGCCACAGAATAAGTGTTGAAAACGTTGTCGATAAAAAGGTGTTGGCATGGGCAAAACAAAGGTAAAATTTGGTTTAAATCTAAAGTATGAAATGTTGCGGTAATACAAACAAGGCTCAAATGACGTACATTATATATTATTAGAAGTGATTTCAGCAATTTAACTCCACTGCCTTCTTCATCTATAATACCCATCTGATCAAAGAGCACTGAATACTGGTGGTTCGAACCTAAGTGGATGAGCTGATTGCACTGGCGTTTGTCGTTTTATTCCCTGTGAAGTAATTTTAATACTTGTGTGTCTTGCTTGATACAGTGATAAAATAAACATATCCAAAATAAATTTATTCTAAACATTTTATTGCATATTTACACGAGTTATATGTATATACATGCAACATGAATCCAATATAGTTAAAACGAAACAACCATAAGTGTCAATGTTTTAACTCACGTGCTGTGTCAATACCCTATAAAATATACCAGCCACACCGACTAAAACCTAAGTTCAAACTCAGGTGCGAAACCCTATTGAAGTTATCGCAGAATACCCTAAACTTCCAATAACTGTCCGTCTCTTTTGCTGGTTCTTCAATGGTAATAAAGAGGAAGCTGAATGACTGGCCGCGGAGAGATACATGACACTTGTAAATTAATTTTAATATTAATGTGTGAGCATTTTAGAGTGTGCATTAATTTTAATATTTGATTTTGAAGTGTACAAGCCACTTTTCCTTTAAAATGGCCTTCCCTAATGTATCCCTTCCCTTACGTAAGTAACTCTCATGTGCTTTGACTTATTCAAACAAAGATGGGCCCACCAGCGGCCGAGCGGTAAAGCCGCTGAACACTGGTAGTTCGGTCCGAGGTTCGAATCCAGCGAACGGGCTGGCTGCATGGGTGTTTTCGTGGTTTTTCCTATGTGTAACGTGTATACGAGCCAGTTTCCCTTAGAAAGTCCTCCATGAAAGGCATCCCTCCCCTTTGGCAGATAGCCCTAGTGTGCTTTGCCGTAATTAAATACACCATCAAATAAAGATAACAATCTTCTTCTGCAACTACAGGTTGAAAGCGATGATGTTGAATCTCTGAAGGCGATGATAATTTCAAACTAAAAGCCGAAAGTCCAGATTGAGAGTGCAGTCTTCTAACAAAAACTGATAGAGCCATTTATTCAGAATACTGCAGGAGACTTCTTTGTCACTTATCAATTCAGGTGTAAATTTCTGTAATTAGCTTCCCTGAGTGCCCTGATATAAACGAATGAAGTATTAGCAGCCTCATTTGCTCAAGCATGAATTCCATTTAGTAATTGCTTTTTTTAAACAGATTAATATCCGAACGTTACACACAAACCATATTCAAGTTGTTAGAGCCAGAAACGTAGTAATTTTATAGATGTTATGAGCAAGTGGGGAAATTTTTAGAAGAGTGTTCAAATTTCCAGTGAGCTGCATGATAATTCGTCCTATGAAAGTATTAAATTATTGAAAAGTTATGACCAGCAATAGAGTAATATCTTCAAGCAGTAACGAACTACTTTGAAGAGCTAAGTATGGTAAACTTAGCTTTATTTTCATTTTAATATTTTATGCACGGTATCTTCTGAGAAAATGTAGGGTTGCTAAGCGATCTGGCAAGCATAAGTGTTCAACATACAGGAACTTGATTAAAAATATATGATCAGTGACTTATGGCATGTGCAATATTTTGTTATTCGCATATTTTTTTAACTATGCCATGCATATTTAGTTCTACCTTCGGCCTCTTGTAATTTTTCAAAACCGTGTTATCTAATATAGTTATGCTATCATTAGTTCAAATAAACCAGGTTCTACTGCAACATAAGCATTAACTATGAAAAATTATAAACACGAATTTATTTGAAGTTACATAGAAGTTTATTATTTGAAGTTTGAAGTTACATCTTTATTTGAAGTTACATGTTTACTTTAGTTTCAATACTCAGTTTTGAAATGTTCAATAACCATAAAGTTATTGAAATTAATTTAAGAAATCTGTATGAAAAAAGTTAATTCCTAATTCTGCCCATATTTTATGACCCTACCTGAAATTAATTGTCAATATCGGATCAAAAATATTATACTATTTAAAAGAAATCAATTAATTTTTAAATAATTTGATCCATCAACATAAAAAGAATTAATATAATGAGAGTTATAGTGCAAAGAGAATAAAGTGCAAGTTTTGAAGAAAAGTAGTCTCTTAACCCTCACAAAGAATCTTGTGCTTGTAAAAAATAGGGTCAATAATGTAAATTTGTAATGCATGGAATAACAAATAATGCGTGAACTATATTGCAAACTTGCCTTAAATCGGATTTTTTAAACTTAATGTGGTATTTCTGCTGACAAAAATGCTCTATTTTTAAAGGAAAAAGATATGTATGCTATTTTCTTTCTCAGAACTTATCTGCATTATTCCCGAAAGAAGAAAGTGATCTTTCACTCTGGGAGGTACATGAAACCTTACTAAAGTAAAATAAAACCTAAGATCTTTTATTCAGGTTTCTAAACTGTAACGGTACTTATCAGCTAAAGTGAAGTACTTGAGAGTTGTGTGCCCCTTTTCTGATAACGATTCGATAACCATACACAATTTCCCATATTTTTTCCTTTTTTAAACTAAGTTTTTATATTATTTTATAATGTTTCTACATATCTTGCTAAATCGTTAAAAATATGTGACTGTTAAGTAGCACATAAGCGATTACTCTGCTCCGAGTGCATAATACATGACGTTAGAAAAATCTTTTATTAATAACAGTAATTGTGCAAACCTTTAAAAATATAACAAAATTCCGTACGTTGTATAAGAACTGGTGGTATTATAAATGATGTTAATTAAAACTACACTGGTGTCCAAAAATTAAGGACGAGACGGTTTTTTCAATATAACTTTGTACAAAAGCTTTCCAAATCAACACATTTAATACCGTAAGATCCCCAATACGTAAGGACATGAGTAATGTAAGGAACACTTACTAAAAGAGAAATCAGAGGGATGAAAGAAGCTTTATTGAAAAAGTAGCATGGAGCGCAATGCGTCTGAAGGCCGAAACATCCCTGTGATGGGTGTCCAGCAAGAAACATCCGATCTTTAATAGGGGATATGATCTCCCCTGACTGCTAGGCAGGTTTCACAGCGTCTGCCCATGCTGAGAATGAGGGTGTCAATGAGTTGTTGAGGCATTGCTGCCCATTGGTCTTGCAGCGCCAATCGAAGCTGTGGAATCGTTACTGGTGGTAAGGTACGAGCTTCCAAGCGTCTGCCTAGAAAATCCCATACATACTCGATGGGATTGAGATCCGGAGATCGTGCCGGCCAATCCATACGTTCAATATCCTCACTCTCTAAGAGCTGTTCGGCAGCTACTGTGCGATGACATGGTGCATTGTCGTCCATGAAAAGGAACTGCGGACCCATAGCGCCTCTAAAAGGACGCACATATGGAAGAAGAATCTCGTTACAATAACGGGTCCCGTTGACTGAACCTGCGTCGAAGATGTGAAGGTCTGTATGACTACCAAGCATGATGCCTACCCAAACGAGAACACCACCACCTCCATACCTGTCCCCTTTCAATGATGTTCGAGGGATGATTGCGGCTTCCCCGCTCTCTCCAGATGAGTATGCGATGAGAATCGCTACTCAGAATCTGCTCTCATCTGTAAAGAGTACTCGTCCTCATTCATTGCCGGTGTTCCCGGCACCACAGAAAACGCCTTTCCGATGGGCAGGCGTTAGAGGTACACACCGTACAGGGCGTCGTGCAAACAGACCACCACCGTGCAGTCTTCTGGCCACGGTAAAACGCGATATTGGTCGTCCAGTCGCCTGTGTCGTGTGTCTAGCGATTTCTCCCGCTGTCTGCCGCCTGTTTCTTCTGGCCTGTAAGGCAATATACCGGTCATCTGCGGGTGTGGTTCCTCGTGGACGACCACTACTAAACCCCCGGATAGCTGTTCCTGTAGTTTGAAATTGTCTCCAAAGTCGTGAAACGATGCTGTGAGCAATTTCGAACTCTGCAGCCACACTTGTCACACTGCGGCCTTCCTCCAACTTCCCAATGATTCGACCTCGGGTAAAAGCATCCAGATGTCGTCTAACAGATTGATTATTCGCCATTTCTCGCTGAGGCAGCAACTCGGTGTGATTTTAACTGCTATACGGCGTGCAATCTCTTTGCCAAAAATACTGATCTTACACCGACAACATGCTTTATACTACTGAGACACTCCCCCCATTACGTCTACCTGCATATCTGTGCATGTGCTACCGTACATCACCTTACTTAATCTCCTGATTGGTCTTTCTGTCCGCTCTGCCTCTTCGTTCAGCTGATATGCTAATTTTTCGACTTCGTCCTTTAATTTTTGCACACCAGTGTATAGCTCAGAAATGAATAAATATTTAGATCATTGGGAAATACGTGTGTTGCTTTTATACCGTTTTAATAAATATGCAAATAATTCGAAATGCAAATTAAATATCGTATGTTATGCTGGATAGACTCTAAGAAGCAGTAATCTGCCAGGTCGTGTCAATGATAAATTGAAGACCATATATGTCACAGTAAGACAATATTTTCTACGCTATGAGCTTGATAAATGACGTCACGTAACCTAACTAGATTCGGAAAACGATTAAGACTATAGCCATTTGCAAAGTCAAAATGTAACTGAAATGAATTATTTCAACTGGAATAAAAACTGATTGTCGTTCTTTTCTTAGGATTTTCGCAAGCCGATGAGAAATTATCTCGCCTTCGACCTTCATCTCTCCTCCGGAATTTCCTGAAACCAAAGAAAGTAAATCTCTTTTCTGGATGCCCTGAAAATACGCAATGTTCCTTCATTTTATCCTGCTGGTGGACCGGGGATTCTGTAGGCACATCTTGCGGGCCTTTTTTCTTCTGTTGCGGAAGTCAAGACAGCAGAGATGATCAACATGTTCATCAGTTATACTATGGTCCAGTTAGAAATGATCCGCGTATGTTTAATATATTATATTCTAACTTATTATTTCCTTTTTATGTGTATGAAATTATGTGTGTGAAATCTTCTTATGTGTATGAAATTCATATAATATACTGCGAAAATAATTTAACTCCAATTTCATAAATGTAGAATTTTCTGAATATAATTCGCCAACAAAAACTCATATTCTAATAAACAAATTTTACACTCAAACTGTAATAAAATATGTAACAGGAGCTTTAAAATGAAGTAATTGACTCTGAATAATGTTGCTGTATGACCGAGGAAGCATTTTTATGAATTTGCTCATATTATGGTGAAAGAAATGTCTTTTACCTCTTTAAATCTAAATGATTCAGGATGGTGTTTTTCCTTTCTTTTCAATCTCTACTTTTTTTACTCAACAGTACGTAATACATCTGATGATTCCTGCTTCCCAGAATGAATAAGTTACGTTGAAAAGTAACTTTTTTGTTCTTGAATAAAAATGTAATGACTTAACTATTCTTGCATAAATTAAATTTAAATATTTTCAATGTTAACTAAATTGTTGCACAAATAACATTTATTTTCATAACTAATTCCTACGAATAGTTTGCAAGCCGTATATTATCGCCATACAGTTTTATTACACTACCTTTCCTTAATATCTTATCCAAAATTTTTTTTCGAAAAGTCTTTCTGATGACTATCATCAAAAAAATTAAACGCTAGCATTCGGAGAATAAAATACGAGGAATTAAACACAGTAAAATGTGCTGCACACAATAGTAGAAAAGTAGTTGAAGTACTCCGTATCTTTTGTTAATAGATAACCTACTGAACTAACAAATAATTAATTTTAAAAACTTAGATCATAACTCATTATGATTAAACTGTTTTCAATCAAAAAATATCAATAGACTATTGACGCTGATAATTATACTTCCTTAGCATTCCTTAAAGTGATTATAATGCTATTGATTTTTAAATAGTATTAATTATGGTACAAATGCAAACTTAATTTTACGCGATACTTAACATACTGTGTTAATTATTAAGTATTAGTTATATTATTCAGATATTATCTATATTTGAATTTTATTTAAAATCAAGAGATTATATAAAACGACTGATGCATAGAATCATTTTCTTTAATTAAAAGTTTATGCTATAATTATTGTAATTATATATTATTGTTATAATCATATATTTTTAATTCCTGTCTTACATAGTAGATGTTATTTATTTTAGAGATACGTGAGTTACCATAAGGCTAACTTAAACTGAATTTAAAATACTTTGTTGTTTTTCCACTTGCCTGTGTACTTGCAAGTTACTGCATCTATCGGCAATGGCCAATACATATCGGTCACTTAGTGACCCAGAATTCTACTCAGAATTTCAAGCATTATACACAAATTTTATTTGAATAAAACTTAACTTGAACAACTTTCTGTTAGCGACATCTGTAGTCAAAATATCACTGCAAAACATTTATGATAATACTTTATGACTCAACAATAAGACTTATCGTGTCACGTGGGAAACACAGAAACTTTATTTGCTTCAGTGTTTTTTTATCTACTGCAAATACTATATCCTTAAATAAGTTTTACTCATTTTGGTGTTTTCTTAAGATAATCTGGTATCTATATTTGCCAAACTATCGTACTCTGGCTTAAAGTGACGTCATCAATATGATAGTAAATCCAAAGAGTTACTTCCGTAAAACCCAAACTTACTTTAAAACTTTTAACCAATGGCAGAAACATCGTTATCAACCTCAAGCGAAAACTTTAAAATATAGAAGAAACATAAAATGATATTGCTTAAAGAAACTCTTTATGGTAATATTTTGTTTAAATGCTGTCTATTTTAAATGGAAAACGCGTTATTACATTGCTGCAGGTAAAATAACGAAAATAATGAAAGAAGTTATATTTCGTGAATAAAGAGATGAATCTGCACTAGCTTATGTATTATTGATCAATAAGAAATTCGCTACAACTTTTGATAAGCTTTGCATAGAGAAATTTAAAAGATGATCGCACATTATAGTAAACTTCCAATAACCGGTCTGAAATAACGAATGACTGGTTAATCTGAAAACTTATATATATATATATATATATAAACACAAATTGTATATCAGCTACTGAAAATATGCACAAATTTTACGCATAAAAATTTCATAAACTCTTATTTAGAAAAATCAATGCTTTTCACTTGCTAAACTTCGCGCATTGGCAAAACTATTGTGATTAAAATGACACAAGAAACAAGAAATTGAAAACTAATTAACTAATCTCTGATACTTTCTAAACTATGCTTAGGAGTGCTGTTTTTAAAGTCTACATATTATTGGGAAGAAATACACTGTCCTGATTAGAGTGCATTGTTCGTTCTAGAATCTGCAACCGAAATCGGATTCCAAAAAGAAAAAAAAAATGCTGACGAAAATACAGTGGTTAAAAAGAGACTGTATAGCTGTATATTTATTGTACTTTAAGTAATATAGATACAGATATGCACTACAATACATGCTTCGCAATACTGATACATGCAAGCATTGTAATACATACTTTATGATTCACTGATTCACACATGCACATCCATTGGAAGACATACTCCACGATGCAGGCTTGCATTTCTAATCCGTGCTTCGCGATACTGCGTGTACATATTAAACAGATATACGTCCATTGTAATATATATTTCATATGTAAATACATTCATTGTAATATATACTTCACGATATCGCTATTGTAATAAATAAATATATATATTTCATGATGCTCTGTGTACTTGCTGCTAAATTTTTAGCTACTGAAAATAGTTACCTATAGGTTATCCTCCCTTCCCTTCTCCCGAAAATAATAAACTGTTATTTGAAATATCTACACCCCGAATAATTCCGATAAACCAGGTTTTTATCATATTCAATTTATGCTAAGAATTTAAAAAGAAAAATTATCGCTTTATCATTTCCTGTTTTCTCCTCAAAAGATTTTAATGTAAATAGATTGTAACTGAAGATTTCATTTAACCCAAATAAATTTTAAAATAACAGAAGCATTTGTTACAGTAAATCGACATGTTATGTCTAGTATCAGGTATTAAGTAGAAAAACCTGTATATTGCTGACGTTTGTTTTCAGGAAGTAAGCGAGTCCATAATCTCTAGTAACGGACAGCAAGGCTAGATGAGAAATAATGTTTCTGCTGTATTGTTGTTTACATTGAAATTATTTCCGATGACGAAGACAAATGACAAACATTTTTACTGATGCATGATTGATTACAATGAAATGATGTCACGGTTCGCTGAATTCGGTCAATTTAATGATGTATTTTAAATCATTAGGAATTTCATAACAGCTAGAAAAATGAGGGGGAGAATTCAAATTTTATTTAATAATTTCGCTTTAATATTAAGGAGATATATTTATAAAGCATGTTACTTAATTTTAAACAGTCTGGAATAAATTTAATTTAAGAAATAATAAAGATTTTTGTAATGCGTAATACAATCTGATCATGTCTTTGATGATCATAATTTTTTTATCGTTATTAAGTGTTACTTGGTATGTGGTATTTTAATTATGGCAAAGCACACTAGGGCTATCTGCCTAAGGGAAAGGATGCCTTCGTGGAGGACTTTCTAAGGAAAACTGGCTCGTATATACGTTACACATGGGGAAAACCACGAAAACGCCCATGCAGCCAGCCCGTTCGCGGGATTCGAACCTCGAACCGAACTACCAGTGTTGAGCGACTTTACCGCTCGGCCGCTGGTGGGCAAGTGTTACTTGGACATAAATGAGAAAAAAGGTCAATACGACTATACAGAAATATAAGAATTGAAGACCGCAGCTTCCCAGATGTTTATTTTTAGCTTCACACTCTTCGATAACAAAGCAAAATCACTTTGCCTGGCAGCAGTACATAGTTTTTCTGGATAGGTTATTAAAGCAGGTTAACTTTCGGAGTTTTTTTGTTTAACCTAATTCATCTGTTACCATTTAAACTTAACAGTGCCTCTACCTTCTTCATATTAAGTTTTAAAAGTACTTAGTTTGTCAAGCACTATGAAAACTTCGTATTTTTAATGAATCACAGTGGTTTATAGTGTTCAAGAAAACGCACTGGTGTCAGATCATTGATATTCAGTATCATTTTTTATTACGTTTTTCATGATAGTGTTCACGCGTTGTTTGACCACTTCAGAGTTTTATAAGTAAGGAACCCAAGTAGCACAGCAACGTCGTAACGACGTTGCAAACTCGTCGCGGATCTCGTTGCAAAAACGTTGCAATATGTCGTCTTTAAGACGCCCAGCTGTCCGCGAACATCCACTCGTTGCAAGGACGTCTTTATTACGTCTTTGCAGATGAGGTTTTTGTCGCATAGACGTCGTTATTGCGTCTTTCGCAGGTGATATTTTGGTTGTGAAAGCATCGTATCACGACGCCTAAATGTTCGCAAAATTCCACCCTTTTTGCAACAGTTGTGAAAATGTCGTTACATATTGTCCTTATGTTACATATTGATTTGTGCAGAAAAATAAGCTTAATAATTAATATATTTTTCTTCTTTTTTTAAATTTTGTGTTCCTTGTATTTATCTAAAGCTTAAATATTTTATCATTTCCTGAAAACCAGAAGATAATACAATTTTTTCTCTTTAGACTAAATATGCATAATTAATAATAGCTTCAATTATTTTCAGTACTTTAAACTATAGTTTTTAAATTTCTTTTTAGACTAAATATACATAATTAATAATAGCCTTAATTATTTTCAGTATTTTAAACTATATTTTTTAAATAACTAAAATTTTAAGTTACGATTTTTTAAGATTTCGTCATTTTTTTCCTTAAGTGAGAGTAATTATTAAAGTGTTTATTATAAATATATAGCATAAATAGTAGTTTTTAAGTAACTAAAACTCAATTAGACATAAATAAAAGTAAAGATATATATATGGGTAAAAAAAGAGCGTTTCTGATTATAACAGCATTATCACATTTATT